ACCTTCTTCCCAGTGTAACAGGAAGCCCTTCTGCATTATTGCTGTTCCTGGCCCCATCTTCTCGGATTCTCATCTCACTCCTACCTCTGCACTCCTCCCCCCACAGGCGACGGGAAGTGGGGGCCCTGGAACCAGTGGAGCGTGTGTTCCAAGACCTGTGACTCTGGCTGGCAGCGGCGCTACCGCATGTGCCAGGGCACGGGGGTGCAGGGCTACCCATGCGACGGCTCCGGGGAGGAAGGACGCGCCTGCAATGACAGGAAGTGCCCAGGTTAGTCCCTGCCTGGTGCGCGGTACAGTGGCTCTTAGTAAAACCCACTTAAGTAAATCCGGATGTGAGCGAAAGATATCCAATGTACGTAGAGTTTACGCAAATTTACACTTTATCTTTTCATTTCTTTAATGTCAGTTATTTAGTATGTATTCCCACTATGTTTTTGGCTGATTTGTTTTTTGCTGCAGGGTGTCTTGAATGGTATGGGAAGGTAAATCCGACTTCCGTAAAGTTTGACTTACGTAAGAGTGTGTGGAGCGGGTTACTTCAGTCAGTCGAGATCTGCCGGTAGAGGGTCATGGTACAGTCTGGACAGCACGTGGCTTTGGACTGTGTGTGGAAGCCCACATGATGCAGGGAGAGAGTCTGACACACCGGGGTGAGATTCAGACCCTGATCCTTGAGGTTTGAGGTGACAATGCTACTTTCAGAACTACCATGACATCTGGGGTCTCACCCTGCTGCCAAACCTCAACTGCGCCAACTTGTGGTCCCTGATTTTTCAGAATACCGTCATACTGTCCGGACATTATACCGCGGTATATGGTATTACTGTAATACTGCCATAGCCTAAGTCAGCGTGCATTTGCTACCGATGGTCGTTAATGCTTTTTCAGTGAAGAGATATTTTTAAAATGTTATTCAATTCTTTTTAACACGCCCAGTGACGATTTTGTGTTCATTTTGTCTTTGACTCACACTAATGGTGCCAGTGATGAAATGAAACCTTAGACTGCCTATGGCACGGGTTGGCCTGTCCAAGCACATGTGTCACTTAGTAAGAATTTGCACCCAGTTGCAGCCACTGCCCCGAAGCCTGACCTTTTTGCCCGGAAAACCATGATTTTGCTCTTTAAGTTCCCTGACTGGGCCGTAGCCTGGCAGCTTCGCTTTCAGACACTCATTTTTGTTCTCTGGGCAACAGTAGAATGGTGGCATTTGCATAACGAGATATTTTCCTTGGTGGTTATGCACAGGGACGCCTGGCTCAACAGCACCTTCCCTCCTCGTCCTCGGTTAATTTATGAGGAAGTACACTGGCGTAGGATGCGACTCGCAGCATCTAATAAGTCACATCACACTCTGCCCTCGACGCACTTCTGAGGATCTTAATCATTTATTGCTAGATCTGTGTCAGTTTCAGAGACTTTTTTCAATGGAATAAATCATTTGAATATTTTTGCCAAAACACAGTAATGGTGTCCGGAATATAAATTAAATAATCTGAAACTGTGGTTATAAAGTAGCATCTACACATATGCCACACTTACACTGATGCCTTTGCAATTTCTTAGGTCATTTTTCTCTGCTTTTGTATTTAGTGATAAAGATGGAGGCATGACATAAGTAACCATTGTTTAGTAAGAGGTTAACTGATTTCTTTAGTGTGTCGTGTATGGTTTTGTGATTCCATGTGGGCATTTTATTGTATGTACAATGTACAATGCCTTTTATTAATATATTAGTCTTTTCCAAGAATTATTGAATACATGTTTTTAATGTTGGGGCAGCACGGTGGTGCAGTGGGTAGCACTGTTACCTCACACCTCTGGGGCCTGGGTTCGAGTCTCCGTCAGGGTTCCGTGTGTGTGGAGCTTGCATGTTCTCCTTGCATGTCGTCGTGGGGTTTCCTCCAGAACGTCCAGTTTCCACCCACAGTCCAAAAACGTCCATCCATTTTCTGAAACCACTTATCCTGTTCAGGGTTGCGGGGGTCCAGAGCCCGTCCTGGAGGCTATGGGTGCAAGACAGGGAACAAAACAGGATGGGGCACCAACCCAAGGCCCACACACACACCTACAGGCAATTTGGTGAATGTTGTGTGAGTGTGCCCTGCGATATCCTCCGGGATTGGCTACAGACCCTTCGCAAACCTGAATACATGTAGCACAAGCAGTTTCAGAAAATGGATGGATGGATGGGTATTTTTAATAGCTCCTTTTTTCAAATCCTTTTTCAGACACGGTTGGAAATTCACTTTTTTTGACGGTAAAATTTCTTGTAGTCTGCCAGCTTGTCTAATCATACTTGTGCTGAAACCCCTTCTAACTGAATCAGTAGATGCAGCCCGGATGTTATCCCATTACATGTTAAGGACTTTTTGTGTTGTGTTTGTTTCTGTTTTATTCCATCTTTGAAGGTAGTTGTTTCATTTCTGTGCATGTAGTGATTTGGCCGTGGTTTAATTACTGGGCTTGTGATTGTTGGTAAATACGCTTATAAAGGTAGGATCCTTGACGCTGATGACATAATCAGGCCTTTTCTTCTCAAGAGCAGCTCCGTAAATGAGCTTTCAAAAGGCTCCGCCTTGCTTGCGCTGTTGTGGAGCTGCAGGCACGTAGGCTGGCAGAAATGGACCAGCCCCTTCCTCTCACTATTGATTTTGGTAACATGGCGCTTTCCACTTTCAGTCGTTTTCACTGCCTCTAGAAGGGAGGGGGGGAACATGTTTAGACATTAACGTAGCCCCAGGGAAGGAGCAGCCCCCTTGGGCTGCAAGTGGCAGGTATTTGCTTGGAGGTCAAAGAGTACATTTTTACTCAGCGGGACCTGCTGGTCCGTTCGCTTCTGGGGTCTAATGTTAGTGTACAGGTAGCTTTTCTCTGCCCTTGAGCACTTATAAGTACTTAATTAAGTTAATGATGCCCCTATCTGAGCTCAGTCCTCAAATTTAGCCCTTTTCCTCTTTGCACAGAGGTGGCTTTCTGCTTAAAATGCTCCGGAAACATTGTGTGTTGAAGTACCAGGCTCCGGCACGCATAATCAGACAGAGAAATTGTGCATTCCACAGGTTCACATCCTTTATTTTAAAGAGAAACAAGTTTATCTGCCATAATTGGTTCAATAGGTGCCACATGCTTTGTTTACCGCAGCCTTCTGATGCAATTTGTGTCTTTTTGGAATGAAAATGCTCCCTAATGGGCATTGAATAGATACATCACTACTGAAAAATTTTATATTGAATATCCTTAGCCTGAACACTCTCACAGGCATATTTTTGATAACCAGCCAAGTATTTTAAGAGATGTAATTTGATATACTGTCAACCTGTATTGTTTACTAAAACATATATGGTACGCTGCCATTTCTGTACCCCCCTGAAGGCCTGTGTTTCTGTCTCCTGCCCGCAACCCCCTACCCCAACCCCCCCCGGACACAGAAACACATCCCCCAGTCCAACATCTGTTCTGCCCCCCACCCCCGAGGTATATTAGTAAAAGCGCCACCCTTGCGTGATTTGTCAGCATATCACCACTGCGAGCCGCCAGTTTTAATAAGCGCCACACTGCCCGTGGCTTTGGGGACCATCGCAGTGCCGATGCAGAGCCCCAGCCTCTGGAAGCTGCACTGTGATGTCGGACATAAAGATGCATCCAGTCACTTCTGAGAGGGCTTGCATTTAGATGAAAGCGGGTGTCTCTCTGCCCCTCCTTCCTCTCATCCTTGTTTTTCTCACATCCTATTCTAGGTACCTCTCTTCTCTAGCTTTTCGTGAAAATTATGAATTATAGAGAAGCCAAAGGGGAGCAGAAGATAGTAGAGCCTCATCTTGGGTGTGATGGTGTGGGTGATGAGTGTGACCATACCTGTGACTGCCTGCGCTGGTGAGGTGATTTAGTAGGAAGCATCGAGAGAGTGTCTGTGTGCGTGATGGGGATGGCATTCCCCCGTACACGCCGGAGGAGTGACACAGTATCCCCCCGCTTTCTCTCCCCCACCCAGCGCCTCACGAGATCTGCAAGGATGAGTACCTGGTGTCCATGACCTGGAGAAGAGCCTCAGCAGGAGAAACTGTTTACAACAAGTGTCCATCAAACGCAACTGGTGAGCAGGCCATGTCCCCTCACCTACATTGCGAACACTGTTCTGAAAGGCTTCACAATAATTCCCAGTTAATTCCCAGTTGATATGGGAGACACCAGATGAGCTGTCATATTACCCAAATAATTACATTGTAAAAATGCAGCGACCGACACACTCAGCACCTGTCATTGCTTGTAGTATGGTGTCCCTGCTGATGTAAGGAGTATAGTGTCCTTGCTGATATAATGAGTAAAGTGTCCTTGCTTATGTAAGGAGTAAGGTTCCCCTATAGGTGTAAGGAGTGTGGTGTCCCTGCTGGTGTAAGGAGTATAGTGTCCTTGCTGATTTAATGAGTAAAGTGTCCTTGCTTATGTAAGGAGTAAGGTTCCCCTATAGGTGTAAGGAGTGTGGTAATGAGTGTGGTGTCCCAGCTGATGTAAGGAATAAGGTGTCCCTGCTGATGTAAGGAGTATAGTGTCCTTGCTGATATAATGAGTAAAGTGTCCTTGCTTATGTAAGGAGTAAGGTTCCCCTATAGGTGTAAGGAGTGTGGTAATGAGTGTGGTGTCCCAGCTGATGTAAGGAATAAGGTGTCCCTGCTGATGTAAGGAGTATAGTGTCCCTGTTGTCTTTCCTTTAAAAATTCCCTCCCTTATCCACACAAAGATTTAGGGACACAAACTCCCTCTTTGGTTTTTAGGACATTTTAAGCATTATACCAGCCCCCTGCCAGCAGACCCTGCAGCCACACCCAGTCTGACCACACTCGGCCTCTCCAGAGTCACGCAGTAGTTGTTCATTTCCTGAGGGTGATATAAGGACCCTCTGTGAGGCATTGAGCCTGCTTCTTACAGAACTGGCACTTTGGGCTTGGCTCATCAACCAGCTCTATCTCTAGCTCTATCCATTACCTACTATTGGTTTCTGAACTCTCAACTCTTTTCACATTTCTACCAGTTCAATGGAATGTGCCTTTCCTCTTATACCATTTTTGTTCTCCTTTATAAGGCATATATACTGTATAGAGGTAAGAATGAAGGTTCATCGTGTACTGGAACTGCGGGGGGGTCTTAGGGACCTCACTCAAGGGCTCTGAAGACATGTAACTTTGCTGCCAATGATGGGAGTTGAACCAGCAACCTTCTGATCACAAGCACAAACACTTAAGCTGCTGAGTCACATGCCGTCCCCCGAGGGTTCTCTAAACTTGTGTTCTGGATGTTATTTGCCCCTGGAGTGCTGTCTGACCATGTCGTTTGGGTTACATTTTAGCTGTAGTAATTCATCTCTCTGAATCATTAAATCTGCTTGTTCTGAGCTTGGATCTTAGGGCTCTTTCATTAGTCATATTTTTTCTTAGAATTGCACCAAAATATTCCTAGATACCCCATCTGAAACATGCCCATTCGACTCATTGATATGGGTATATATGCAGAAATTCCGAATTAATGAGTTCTTTGAAGTAGATCATAGCACTGCTTCTTGGAACGAGGTCAACATCAGGCCCGAAAGTATGTTCTTACCGAAGTCAAGCCGAGAGACAAAGGGCACACACTGCTTCACCGCCTCATTACCCCCTCGTATGCATCGGCCTGCATTTGATTGGTGTCCCGCTTGGTGCATTCATTTACCTCGAGTGCCTCTGCATGGTCTCTCACTTCCATACCGTACGCAGTTATATGCGTTTCGTTAATTTAGATTCTGTTTGTCAGAAGCTCACAGTTGATACGAAGAAAAAAAATCACAAAAAGTTTCCAAGGGCAGACAGACAGATAACTCTGTCCAGAGAACTGCAGACTAACATGTATTTATATATACGCCCAGCAGTTTTTTCTTCCTATACTGTACATATTCACGGTAAAGTACTGCAGTTGAGCAGCATTTTAAGTGCCTTGCAGAGGACACAGCAGCCCTTCACAGATTCGGGTTTGAACTGGCATCCTTTAAAAGAGAAGGACGTGTTCTTCCGAAGCGCCAAGCTGTCTTTTTTAGCTCCTGGTGACCTTGCGGGACGGACGGTAGCTGAGGGCTGAATGAGCTGATCTAATGACCACGGCTTCCTGCTTTCAGCCTCACGAGGGCGTCTGTCCAGGCCGAGTCTCTGGATAAAGTTGACTCAGGACAAGGATTCAAAAGCCTTCACCTCATGATGCATCCCTGCTAGCCATTTACATTTTAGGAGTGTGTCAGAGTTGGTGCCCAAGCAATGCAACTCCAATCTTTCATCAGAGATGGATTTTCTCAGAAACTGGCATTAAAATTGCCTGTTTACTGGTTATTTTTTCCCCATGAGATAATCACATGGGATTGTAGATTGGTTATGCTTAGCATCAAGAATCCATTTGGTAATCCTTGTATTTTCCAACAATATTTTTATTATACTGAATTATTGTAAACTAATTTTCTCACGTACGCATAACTACAACAGTGCCGATAGGTGCTGCTGTGATACTTTTCAGAATAAACTTGAGCTGAATTGCTTCAGTGACGGTATCCGAGTGTTTAATGGCTGAAGCGCAGAGGCTGGCCGCTTGTGACGAGTTTGTGTCCTGTAGCCTCACGTGCTCTGTGCCACCTCAGCAGTGACACTGTTATGGTTTCCACAAGCAAAGAGAAATTGTCCCATATTGGTTCAAAATGGGTGGCAGCATTTTACTTATTAATATGGGGCGATGCCGTAACGTACAGACCGAGTGGCAAGTCTAAACACTCCGTCTGCCTCTCTCTCCGCAGGATCTGCTAGTCGTCGATGTTTGCTGGACGCTAATGGAGTTGCTTACTGGGGTCCTCCGAGCTTCGCCCGATGCGTCTCACTTGAATATCGATATTTACATCTATCGGTAGGTACCTCCTCTGGCTGAGCCAGACCCGCAGCCCCAGCTCTCAGCATCAGATTCAGCTGTAAACACTGCAGTTTACTGTGTAGGTGGCCGCTGCTTTTAGCGTTCATTTACAGTGACCATGTTTGGAGAATAAATCCTTTAATAACATGGATATTAATAATATTGTTAGTGATATTTTGCAGTTGTACATTTTTCAGAAATTTGTAATGGTATGAAGGTCAAGGGCATAGCAGGAAGTTTTATATGGGGGTGGATCTTAATAATTTTAAAGTATTGATCTACTAATTGGGGGGATGAATGAAGCCAAAATAAATATTGGGGGTACACGTCCCCCCACAGTTCCTGTGCTCCTGTAAGAAGACATTTTTCACTAGTACTTATCTAAGTCACGATGGGCTTGCATTCTCTGATTTGCATTATATCCCTTCCCTTCTCTTCCTGCTGTCTAAACACATGAAGCTGACCGATATCAGGACGCTGTATGTCAGCCTTCCTCACCCCGGGTGCCTGTCTGTTCTGAGCTGACAGGCAGTCAGGGTTTCTGCTGACCCTGATGTAAGGTTAGGGTTGTCAACCCTGCATTCGGGACGCCCATCCTGTCCTTCTCTGAGGCCGTGAACGCCATGAGAATGTGCACGAGGTCCACCTCTCAGGTTCTGTGCCTGATTCCTAGACATCGTCCCTGAAGTGGGGAGCTTTGTGGCTCAGGCTGACGGTCTGCATTGGGTTTAGAGCCGTGTTTCTCCCCCCAGTACTTGGGGATCCCCAGCCGGTCCACGTTTTTGCTCCTTCCCAGCTACCAGGCAGCAGTCCACATTTTAGCTTCCTATCGGGAACTGGGAGGGAGCAAAAATATGTACTGTCTGGGGATCCCCAAGGACCGGACTGAGGAACATCAGTTCAGAAGGTAGGAATGGGGTGTTGCTGGCACAGACAAACCCGTCTTCTTTAATATCATAGGTAAACGTTGCCAGGATCAAGTTAATCTTGTCTAAGCTGAGGGATGCAGGCCTCAGCATCCCTCCTATTAGTGAAGCCGATTTTCTTTTTTCTTATGTATCGTTCAGCATTCCAGTCTGTTTTTTGAGTATTTCGTTTCTTCGGTCAGGCATCTTGAAAGGACATCTGCGTTTAACGCATTTATCTGATGCTTTTATCAAAGCGACTTACGACAGAGGGAAAGTTGCCCTTTTTGAACGTGTGTTCCCTGGGATACAAACCTTATTGTTGAGCTACAGGAACTAAGGGAGGCCAGGAGGGTGTGTCCCTGTTTCTGCCTCTTTAGCCTCCTGAGCAGCTGTTAAGTGCTCAGGCTGCCATCTGTGACGCTTCTTATCACCAGACCGGCTACCTGAGGTCTGTTACCATCTCATGCCAGCAGTTCCTTGACCTCGATCTGGGATCCCTAATCCTCCTCTTGAACGCCCACTGCGTTTGCTGGCTTTTCTTCGATCTGAGATCTTAATTAATTATGCCTGATGAGGCTGTTGATTGAACTCTGACTGTGACTCTCTTCATTGTGAAAGTGTCCCTTTATACTAACAAAATTACTGAGAAGGAAAATTTTATTATATAAAAATGGGTACCTGAAAATGAAAGCCGGTTATTCAATTCAGTATTTTAATATGTAGCAATTGCCTTGTTCCAAGCGCCTAAAAAATATTTTGTACTTATTTATTTGAGTACCACAGGAGCACTGAATGTATTTGAGGTAAACATGTTTTACTTTTGCAGAGAGAGGTTGTCAAAAGACCCATGAGTTTAAATTTAATAATAAACATGATTATGAGATCAGTGTGTTAAGAACTGAAGTGAAAAGAAATTAGCTATATCAGAAGATAACATTCCATAAGAGAAACAGAGAAGTGTTACAAAATTTCAAAACAGGACTCCAGTATAGTACAGAAAACTCTGAGTTTCATCCTGGTTTCTTTTTATATCAAAAATTAAGATCAGTAGTTTCATCCAGCCAGCCATTATCTACCAGACATCCAAGGGCAGAGGTTACCCAGACCTCCCCCACCTCTGTAACCTCCTCCCGCTCCGCCGGGAGAATACCAAGGCATTCCCAGACCAGCTGAGAGATATCATCTCTCCAATGTGTCCTGTGTCTCCCCGGGGTCTCCTCCCAGTGGGACATGTTCAGAACTGTCCTGGAAGCATCCTTGATAGATGTCTGAACCACCAGAGCTGACTCCTTTCGGTGCAGAGGAGCAGCGGCTCTCCTTTGAGCCCCTCCTTAATGTCCGAGCTCCTCACCCTACTTCTAAGGCTGAGCCCAGCCACTCTGCGGTGGAAACTCATTTCTGCCCCTTGTATCCGTGATCTCATTCTTTTGGTCAATATCCAAAGCTCGTGACTGAAAGAATGAGAATTAAGAATTAAGGTCAGTGTGTCCATGAAACTTTGACTCGGTTTATGCATTTATATGCAATTATCCACTCTGCTTATCTCCCCGCATTTCTGTTTCATACTTTCGTCCAGTTTCCCGCAGTTTGAAGATTATCTCTTCTGCTCGGTCCATGCCTGCTGTCATCTCCAGCTTCCAGTATGACTGTAAACGTGTCTGTTTCTTCTCACTGCAGTTACGAGAGCATCTTGCGAAGGGTCAGAGGACCCTAGCAGGGGAGGGCATGTCTCAGATCGTGAGAAGTCTCCTCGAGTTAATGTCCCGGAAAAATTATTACAGCGGCGACCTTTTATTCTCCGTGGAGATTCTCCGAAATGTGACGGACACCTTCAAGCGAGCAACCTACATCCCAGCTCCCGACGACGTGCAGGTGAGGAAACGGGAGGCCTCGCACGCTCATGCACGCTCATGCACGCTCATGCACGCTCATGCAGCCGGTCACTCGGATGCACCCTCTCCGAGGGGCTGCTGACCAACTGCAGTCACACTCCTGCCTGGATCCACAGTCGCCAGGTTCTTCCCACCAGACTATCTGGTGTGTTTACACCCAGCCATAAGCATTGTGCTTTGTAGGTGTTAATAACAGTTTGGGCATCGCAGATATTAGACATTATCTGTGATGTCCTTGTGTTGAACCGGAGTAGGAGCCTGGGAATCCTCAGAGAGACACCAGCACGGGTGCAGTGACATTGGCAGGGATTCCAACATATTTTTTTCGTTCTCAAACACCTCCCCCCATATTCCTGCCTCACCCCTGTACTCCTATGCTGGTCGCTGCTCTTTCTGTCCTTGGCGACTCCCAGTTCCGCCACCCTAATCGCTTCTCATGTGCTGTCTTCACCCCTACAGAAATTCTTCCAGGTGGTCAGTTATATGTTGGACATTGAAAACCGAGAGAAGTGGGAAGATGCTCACCAGGTAAAGAGCTTCATGGTTCTCGCGCGTGTCCGCGTTTCCCGGTGAGCGTGTGCTGACCTGCGCCGTGGTCATGTGTAGTGTTACTCTGTTTTGGATGTGGACGTTAGTGCCCTGAGATGGGTCAGCACCCCGTCCTGCATTATTCCCTGCCTTTCACCCATAATGACAGAAAGGCTCCAGCCCCCTGCAACCCTGGATAGCACAAGCATTTAGAAGATGGATGGATAAATCAATCAATCGATTAACCAATCAATTAATGTATGAAAGATTGAATGAATGAATGAATGAGTTAATGAATGAATATGGATATGAGATTGTGATTCACATCAAAGACACTGTGTTTAATAATAATTTTATATAAAGCTGACACACAAAAGCAGAGGCAGAAACCCAGTGGAGTCGCAGAGTCAGGCAGACAGGCTCAGTTTCTGCGTGACCCCGTGCCGCCCCGGGTGGGGCCAAGCAGGGAGTGACAATGGATTCGCTGCCTGAGCAAGGGAAGCAGCGCTTCATTAGATCAGATCTGCGGCGTTTTGGATGGCACACACCGTCGCCTGTGGTGCCCGCTGTGCCCGCTGTGCCCGCACACCCCTGCCGCCCATCTGCTTGTGCCGCCCAGCGCCGGCTGAAGCCACACACAAAAGGCTGCCTGTTTGAGAGAGAGGAAGGGCTGGTATTTAACTCCAGGGAAGGACTGTGCCTTAGATGACCTGGCATCTTTGCCAGCATGCCCTCTTGCCAGATGAATAAAATTCAACTTTTTCCATTTGCAGAAGCATGAGTACAGGCACGTTACAATGTATCTCAATGTTCTCGCATGATCAGTCAATCAGTCTTTATGTATATAGCACTGGGTTTACAATGTGCTTTACAGACATTTAAAAGAAAGGAATTAAAATAAGCATACAGAGAAAAAATATTAATCGGTTTAAAAAATATATTAATAATAATCCAGCACCGCTGGTGCATTTTGGGGATTAGAACTAGCGACCTTCTGATTGCAGGCACAAAGGTCACACACCACTGTCCATCACATGTTATGTTGATGAAGCAGTGTGTGGGGCGTGTGGGAGACCCCCCCCCCCCGCTGCATGTTATAGGCTTTGGATGGATGGATGGAAGGAAGTCAGTTGTGTACGATATGGCTGCTGTCAATATTTTTTTATATGTGACAGATGCTGAATTTTAAGTTAAGTTGCAGAGGAAAAATCCATGTCAGGTGTAGTGATGACAGAGTTACTTCCAGGGACTTGTCAGGAAGCTTGACTTTATCAGCTACTGGTCTGCAGTGAGGTCGTTGTAGTGTTTGCCCGTCCTGCCATGAGAGTCGCTCTCTGCTTTTCACCGTGAGCTGCTTTGTGGTGGGGGGGGGGGGGTCTCGGCACCAGCCCAGCAGTCACCGCTGCACCCTGACACGTGTGCACATCCCTATTGGGGGGCTGTGTTCATGCGTGTCGGTGTGTGCGAGAGAGAGAGTGACATAACACACACTCCCTGACTCAGTGTGTATGTTTCTTTGTGTGTGTGGGTGTGTGACACAGAGATGTAAAAGGTATTGAGATTTGTGTGTGTGTGTGTGTGGGTCATGTATATATTACATTATGGGGACCACACAAGGGGAAAACTCATTTTTATAAAAATCTGTGACTGCATTCAAAAAACTAAGAACACCAGAAGTTTTGTATTTTGTTTTGTTTCTTATGGTTAAGGTTAGGGCTCGGTAGGGGTTACAGTTGTCATTGTTAGGATTAGAGTTTTCCCCATATAAATGAGGCCCCACAAAGATATAATTACAAACCCGGGTATGTGTGTGTGTGTGTGTGTGTGTGTGCGTGTGTGCGTGTGTGTGTGTGTGTGTGCGTGTGCACGCGTGCACGCTCTGCTGTCATTTTGGGGATGCCTATGGAGAACAAAGGCAGCAAACTTTACAAAATGAAAGATTTTAAACTTCATTCCAGTATTACAAAACTTTTTTGTTTGTTTATAAACGTTAATTGAATTTAAATGAGAGTGAGTGGGAATTTACTGCAAAGGAAGATACAAGAATTAGTGTATATGCCATTGTGTGTGGGCCCTATAATACGCACGTATAGAGTTTGCGGCTCTCTACTTAGCGACACTAAATGCCTCAGAGTGAGCCGCTGTCTACATACCATCTGGAACCTTAATTACTGGACTAACACTTTGATTACATTCCCATGAAGAGCGGCAGTTAAAGGAGAACACAGGGTGAATCCTGCAAGCAGGCATGTGTCCAGTCTTCAGGGAGGGCAGTGAGGCACAGCAGAGTCAAGGTCACGCCCATGGAGGCCCCAAGGCGTGTTAGTGACTCAGAGGCAGCTTTGACTCATGGGCACAGGCCACATAAGGCAAAAGAAGATGCTGGACTCGTCTATCAGCAACCATGATGAGAAAAAAGGATGAGATTCGTTATGGCTTTCTTAACGATGGCAAGGAGACGGCAAGGAGATTCATTATGGCCTTTTTTTAACGAGGATGCGGATGCTTGCGATGCACAAACTGATGAGGACAACAGCGAAGGGCTGCTGAAGGGGTTATGCTGACAATGACAGCTGTGGTGGTGATGATGATGATGAGTGATGATGATGATGATGATGAGTGTTGATGACGATGATGATGGGAAGAATATTACAAGGAATGATGATAAAATGTTTATGTTTGTTCATTCAGTACTGAAAAGGTATGAGTATCTGTACACAAAATGAATATTTGCTCAAGAATCACCAGAATTAACAACGACTTAAATATAAACTGCTGTCGACAAATTCTAAATAAAAGAGCAAGGAATACAGAATACATTATTGCAATTGCATTCGGTGGAAAAAAATGTAAATGACACCAACAACAGAAATGGTTTTAAATGAGACCAGCAGAAAATGATCACAAATGCTTTATGTCACAAGACAAAAATGCATATTTTTCAGTTTAATAAAATGACTGTTTTCTTCCTTGAGCGATTCGGGTTTATGTATGTAAATGAGTGTTTGCAAATTAGGTATAGTGTGTGTGTGTGTGTGTGCCTGCGTATATGTGCGTGTGTCTGTGTGTGTGAGCATGTGTGCGTGTGTGTGTGTGTGTCTGTGTGCCTGCGTGTATGTGTGTGTGTGCATATGTGTGTCTGCGTGCATGTGTGTCTGCGTGCGTGCATGTTAGCCCATGTAACTGACCGTGGTCCACCCCTCTAGGTCTCTCCCGGCTCAGCCCTGCTGATGCGAGTGGTCGAGGACTTCATCCATCTGGTTGGCGAGGCGCAGAAGGCCTTCCAAAGCTCCCTCTTCTCCACTAACAACCTCAGTGAGTAACCCCCCCCCCAGCTGTCCCAGGTCACTTCCTGTGGGGTTACGTATCACACCATATGTTATCTGCACAGATGGCTCACACAGTCATGGGTTAAAATGTGCTATACTGTAGCATGAAGCTCACTGCTTGGTAAACTGCTGTCCAATGAATCAGATTTCCAGAGAATTTAGGTACAGCTTCATGCATGGAGATCAGATCAAAGCTTCCCATTGTCAGTCACGTCTGCCTTACAACGTATCCACGAGCTCAGCTCATCTGGTAAAAAAGGCAGCCTGTGGTGTGGGTCACATGATCTCTGCTCCCGGCACAGTGATCACGATCCAGCGGGAACCGGTCTCGGCCGTCTCCAGTGACATCAACTTCCCCATGAAGGGGCGCAGGGGGGTGAAGGATTGGGCGCGCTACTCAGAGGACAAGCTCTTCATCCCCAAGGAGGTCTTCACCCTGTCCTCTGAAGGTGAGCTGCTGTCGCTTTGGTGAAAACCATGGGAAGATGTCCCCAGAATCCTGAGCATGTACTGTATGTGTCCGTCACAGACATGAGGACCCAAAATAACCCAAAATAACCATTCATGAAACCAGAGCCATACTTCCTGTTTTGGGACGTCCCCTACATCTGTCTCTGTTGCCATGACAGGAAACTTTTTTATTTTTTCTTATACACATTTTTCTTTTTTTTTTTCTTTTTTTACTTATTTTTTATTTGAAATTTATCAACTCCCACTTGTTCTGCAGGTGCCACACAAATCACACACCATTACAAACTTCTGGCTTAACTGGAGAGAGGTTATTGTGTGGGATGTCGCTGTTGATTGTTGAGACTGTTGACATGTTGGAGCCATCAGTCAATCGGGCGTTTCAGGAATGCAGGGAGTGAGTTTGACATATCGTCGCAAATGCAGGCACTCTCGTATGCTGCCTGCTGATTGGCTTCCCTTGGTTTGCAGTTTGTACTTTAGAGAGGATGAGTACAGTATTGTCTGCATATTGAAGAATGACTTTGGCTAAGAATGAACCCTTAATTAGGACAAGAAACTTTAAAAGGGCTGCCAGTTATTTTAGTCCCATACACTACTGCCATGTAAACGACAGATTCTCTTTTTTGATCTATACTGTACCTGTTTCTGCTGATGTGCTATTTTAATGAAGATATCTTTTATATTTTAATTAGCATTTAATTTATTTAGCAGGCATTATTGTCCATAACAATCTGTCTTGGCGGAATCATATTTATGCTATTTCCTTTGAATTACAATGGAGACCATGTCCAGAATGACATGGGTTCAAAACCCATGGCAAGTAGAGTAATCAGTAATCATATCACCACTGGGCCCTTGAGCAAATCCCTTAACCCCAGCTGCTGCAGGGACACTGGCTGAATCTGCTCTCTGAACATTCATTGCTTTTGACAAAATGGTCTGTTAAATTAATATAAATGTAATTACCTTCACTAACTGTGTCCCTATATATCAATATTAACGGGCACTGAAAACAGATTTTGGCTGTTTAGCTTATCGAAGTAGATAATTGTCAGCATTATGGTGAATATGGAAACCTCCACTCGCATTGCACTTCTGTAGTAATTAGACATCTGTGGCTCCACCGGATCTCACAAGGTCAGCCGACATTCGAGTCCTTTCTAAGCGAACAAAATGTAAACTTCACGACGATGAAAGAAAAAAACTCTCCTGACACGATGAACCTGTTCCAGCATCTTTATAGAGGGCGATCTGCAGCACGTCTGCCTCAGATTCTGCCATCATATATGAAGAAAGGAAGAGATAACAACAACAACAATAATAATAATAATAATAATAATGCATTTTATTTGTAACGCATTTTACATTTGAAGCAAATCTCAAAGTGCTACAAAATGAAAACGTCATAATGAAAATGACATAAATCCCCATTTTAGAAAATGCAGCAATGCGCAAAAATTAATTAAAAGTCATAAGTCCTGCTAAAAATAAATATTTTAAGTCCCTTTTAAAAACTCTGAATTGTCTGTGGTGCCCTCAAATGGTCCGGGAGGGTGTTCAAGGAAGGAAGGAAGGAAGACGAAGGAAGGAAGGAAGCAAAGAAAGAAAGAAAGAGAAAGGAAAAACAGAAAAAATGGGGTGTGGAAGAAAGGGGCTGTGGAGCCTGTCCTCAGGCCTGAATCAGGCTCCTACTCCACGCTCAGCTGGTGCTGCGGTCGGTTTTTCCCATCAGCCTTCAGGGTGATGGAGGAAATAACAATTAAATGAGAGACACACCCTGGTGGTAGGATAGGATAGGATAGGGTGAGGATGGAATGTACAGCCATCTGTTTCTATCTTGAAATCCCGATGGTCTCTCCTAGATGGTCTCTGTTTCATCCATGGCCTGCTCAGGGTGTCGTCTCCCATGCAGTCTCTGCTAAACGGTCTCTTCACCTTCATGAGGGTAGTCTGTCCTCCCTGAGGAAGGCTCTCCAAGAATTCCCACAATTCCATAGCGTCTACTGCTCCTCCTGTCTAATTAAAATTTGTTTGGATTTCTGACGTTGTAAGTAGCCTCATGTTGTGTTTGAGGTGTGAAACGCCCGTAGAAAAATGGGTAGCTGAAAAAGCAACAGATATTCCTTCCCTGAAGCGCCGTCCCCAGCCGAGAGAGTAAGCAGGAGCGGGGAAAGGAAGCGAGAGGAGCAAAAGCATCTAGTCCATTAAGATTCATCCACAGCAAAACCATTGTTGTTGGCCTGAGCATCGCGATGTTTGTGTGTCACATGGTGCCTAAATGCCCCGCTCTCTCCATACAGACACACGTTTCAGAGTCTGCAGCCATAGCAACAGAAGAGAGAGGTACAGCAGAGAAATGGCTGCTCTGTTGCTGTTTTGGGTCCCACAGCATATCATTAGCAACCTGCCAGTCTTACTAAGCCAAAAATGAGCACCCCCACCCCCCCGGCCATGATGGGCCAACAGCAGCCCCCGTTCTGCTGTAAGAGCTTCCCGAATCGCTATTTTCCTCTGCCTATAACCAACAGCCGAGTTATTTCAAAGACTGAATGGCCATGACTCCATAGAGCTGTGGATTGGGGGGGGGGGTCTTTTCAATTTGCCTGGCTTTCCTGCCTTGTACTCAAACCCATCTCCTTCCCCCCCCCCAGCGGGCAAGGCAGTTATTCAGCAATGCAGCTCTCGCCTCTCCTGTGTCTCCCAAACGCACATGTCGCTGTGCTGCCGGTCCGAACCCGGCCACACTAAGCGCTGCTGCCACCTTCGTGTGGTTGGTTGGGGGGGGGGCCTGCTCCTCATTGCAGCAGCATATTGCGCTGCCATGGTACGTGGTACCCAAACATGCTGGGCAAGCTCTCAGTGTCGTTTTGCAGGGGTTCATTTATAAATTCAACCTCAGCAAGGCCGTTGTTTTTATTATGCTCAGAAAATGCATGCGGCTATTACGTGCCCATTGCGCGTCCCATTACGGTGCATTTTGGAGGGCAGGCTATTTGTTATGCGATCCTGTTAGCCAGTCATCACTTCGTTTAAGATGTGGTTATGACCAAGGGTTGCTGACAGGATTGATTTTGAGCAACTGCGTATTCCCCACTGAGGCTATGGCCAGAGCGGGTGTTTTTACTGCCACCGTTTGTCATTATTCATTTCTGTGCACTGCAGTTTAACTGTCTGAACGGTCTAACCCACAATGCAGCTGGTGGCTCATTTGCATGCCCACAAATGCTGCAACCAATTACACTCCATCCCCGCGTGAGTAATGAGTGTAACAGAGCAAACTGATTCACTTTGTTTCATCTGTGGGGGGCATATGGGGGTTTTTAGGGGTTGGCTACTATAGTGGAATATTTTTTGTTGGGGGGCTGGGGGGGGGGGGATTTGTGTCCCCTTTTTCCATCCTAGAGGTGGGAATGAAGTTCCCTTACAGTCTGCAGTGGCTTTCCTCCTCAAAGGCTGGCTGACATTTCAGGGAGAATGTGCTTCTCTCGGGGAGAGGGAGTTTTTGGAAGGGATCGCTCTGCGGGGGGGTCGGTGGTTGGGGGGGGGGGTTGTGGAATGAAGGGCAAAAAGGATGGAGGGAACGAAAGATAACAAGGGGTAGACGGAGTGACGAGAGCTGGAAAAAAAGTTGTGCTTCGGCTGTGCAGAGAAAACAAAAAGTGTCAGAGGAAAACAAGACTGAGGAGGGAAGAAAGGAGAAAGACAAGGGGATATGGTGGAGGAATAGGGGGGGGGCATGTGGGTGTGTCCGGCTACTGCGGATCAGCTGGGCCTACCCTCTCCCAGCTCAGATACACCTCTTCATCACACTCCTCATCCTCCATCACCATTAGTCTTGCCTGTCCTTGCCTGTCATCCGTTGAATTTCTTTCTCCTTCTTTTTGCAGTCTCTTTCTCGAAGGACTGACATTCCCTGAGCCTAAGATCCCACGGGGTTTCCATGTTAAATTTAGCTCTAGCTGCCTGTGAGAGATGTGTGGCATTGTGACACTTAGCCAGTCAAAGCTCTGCTGTTGGATTAAGCTTTTACTGTTTTTTTTTCTTTTCTTTTTTTTTTTTTAATGCTAACTTTCGCTACTTGTTTAGCTGCCAGATGACATTCTGCTCCTCTCCGCAGAATCAGATGACACGTCCTACTTTGTGATAGGCGCCATCCTGTATCGCACGCTGGGGCTCATCCTGCCAGCTCCTGAGTAAGTGTCCCCCTCATGCATGGCTCTCTGTCCTCTGGATGGGCTTCCTTGAAGGAGACGTGTCAGGCCAGCGGGGGCAGCAGTGAGCCGCCCCAACCGCGCCGTCGGGTTACGGCTGGGAGAGCTGGACGGCCTATAAACTCCTATAAACTGAGCTTAAGGAATTAATTTATTTATGTATTTTCCAATGTATCTGTTTACTTAAAATGTTGAGGGCAGCTTTTTAAAGATGTATGGTTCACTTGTATTTTATTGATTGAGTGTTTGCATTAAAGGCGGATGATCCCTTGTGACTATTTGCACTGAATATTGATGGTCAGCTTGTACTGATTTGTCTGAATACTTGTAGTTTCCCATAAAAACAACTCAAAAACAGTATAGTTGGCAAAGGCTATTTAATTATTGGCCATATATGGGTATATCATATTTTATAGTCTTGCTGATGTTTATATCCAGAGAAACTTCAGTTGCAGATACTTTGAGTGAAACTGACGCTTACAGTTTGCCCTTTGATATAGTAGGATGTTAAAGGCAATTTTGAAGCTTCCTTTTCTTTTATAGCACTGAAAACTCCAACTTCGCCTCTGTATTTTGTTTCATTATATGAAGCTTTGCTTTCTGTTATTGGTATGAAAATCCCTGGTTCCACTTAACATTTTTGTATCGTCATACCTCGTCCTCCGGGATATTTTTCTAATAATTGCAGATGTGTGCAGTTATGCAGATGTAAGGAATATGAGGATTAAAGGGCCATCCACCCTGGATAGAGCTGGGGTCCCAAATGACCTGGGGTCAGAAGGATCGGCTCTGCCTTCACTCTGTTTCTCCTGTGGCTTCTGCAGTTGGGTAGAGTCATGGGCTCCTTCCGCTGCATACGATTAACACTTACTGCATGGGAGGCCCCGTGAGGCCGCGCGGGTTTGTGCCCCCTCTCATAGCGCTTGGCTCTCGGACACTGTTTCTCTCTCTTAGCCTGATGGCTGTTTACTCCTCAGGGCAAAGATTAGCCAGCTTTGGGCGGAGCAATTAAACATTACGTGCGATGCATCCGTTTCCCTTGTGTGCATGGGGAAGGGGAGGGATTCGTCCTGGACGTCTGCCTCAAGGCCCGCCCACTCCTGAGCTCTTTAGAGTCAGTAATCCAAAATCCCGTAGGTTTTTTTTTTTTCCGGGATCCCACCCACTCCGCCACCCTACCCTTGGAGTCTTTGCCGACTCATCGTGATGCGCTGACTCTGCCAGTGGGCTGGAGGCCGAGGGCTTGCTTTCCAGAGTGGAGGTGCCAAAACTTGAATATCCATCCACTTCGAAAGAGCGCTGTCCTCTAAGACACCGAGGTCTTTCCTCACACAGTGCTGGCCTTTACTGCCGGCAGGTGCACGCTTCGAAAGAGCACCATCTATCTCGGGTCACGCATCTCTCTCTCTCACTCTCTTCCCTCTCCTTCTCTCACTCTCCTCGCTCTCTCGCTTTCTCTGTTGCTCTTGCCCAGCATTCAGCATCAATATATAAGTAAAACAAGCCTGGTTTCCTGGCCGGGTTTCCCTCTTCCATTGTAGCATCGAGCTGCTCTTATTTTTGTTGTACTTTACCTTCCTTGCGTCGACGCATGAGAGGTCAGTGGCACCTTCAGCCGAGGGGTTTGCGTCATTCGACCTAAACTGATGCGAACCCACAACAACGGAAAAACCCAGTGTTGTACCTCTGTTTTTTCCGGCGTCTACCATATGCCGCTCCTTTGCCAAACAAAGTGAGCCTTATTCAGATCATTGCTCCACAGCTTGTCTGATTGCTACTGTGCCTGCTAAATATTTACAGGACTCAGGGAAGAGGGTGTCATTTCAGCATACTTAGTCTTTTTGTCTCGTTAATTAGGAGACTATGGGAGCCAACGCTCAGTCTCCCTAGGACCGTCGCTGCCCTGCAGCTGCCTGACCTGGCTCCGGCCAGTTGCCATCGTTCTGATTCATCCCTTCTTTATTCCCCTTTCCTTTTTCAGGAGTCCCCTCGTCATCAATTCCAAGATCCTGACAGTGACGGTCCGGCCACTCCCCAAGCCCACCGAGCCCATGGTGGTGGTTGAGCTGTCACCGCTGCTCAACGTAAGTCTTCCGTCACGCAACACAGATCAAACGTCTGGGCTTCATTCCACGCACTGCGTTGCCTAACAGTTGCAATCATAGTTTGTTCCTGTGCTGGTTCCTGAAGCTCTGATGTAATAAAAGAAGGCTGAGTCATGCACAGCTACGGCTGCCCACACAGTAACTCCTCCTAAGCCCCATGTTCTGCATGTCCTAAGGGCTACGCGATCAAACGGAAGTCCAAGAAACATGAGCTTCTCACCATCCATATATTTTAAAAATTAGATTGGTAACTTTGCAACAGTGTTTGCTGGATCTTTGATAGGTCTAATATCAGAGAACATGGGTGTACCCCTTCAGTGTGCCAGAAAACCAAAATTCAATATTTTCCATCCTCTGCCGGACAAGGTGTCCCTTCGGGCAGAAAACCATGACAGAGCGGCCATAAGTCCTGGGTAGGCTGATGCGTGTGCAGTGCAGCTCTCAACGCTTATCTCATCTAATGTTGCTCAAATGTCGTACCACAGAGTACTTTGGCTGTCTACAACTCTAACTAAAAGTAGGCTAGCTCATCCCAGATCAATGCTAGTGGTAATTTGATGAATGAGTCTTTTAAAAACATAGTGGGTGGGACTGCTATGAGTGGTCAGGCATTGACTTCTTTTATCCACATCCTATAGGTTGGTTAACCATTTGACAAATGAGGCTTTTAAAACGCAGAGTGTGTGGGACTGCTGTGATTGGCCATTCACTGACTAGTTTTATTCACATCCTATAGGATGGCTGACCATTTGACAAATGAGGCTTTTAAAAGACAAAGTGGTTAGGGCCAATGTGATTGGCGAGTCACTGACTAGTTTTATCCACATGCTATTGGTTGGCTGACCATTTGACAANAGGCTTTTAAAAGACAAAGTGGTTAGGGCCAATGTGATTGGCGAGTCACTGACTAGTTTTATCCACATGCTATTGGTTGGCTGACCATTTGACAAATAAGGCTTTTAAAATAAGTAGTGTGTGTGTGTGTGTGTGTGTGTGTGTGGGAGACAGAGAGAAAGAGAGAGAAAGAGAGACTGCTATGATTGGCCATTCACTGACTATTTCACAAGCGAGGCTATTTTCCATACTGGAACATGCTGCATCCCATATTATACAGGACGATGGTGGCAACCCTAACTATGGGTTTGTTGATCATTAAATTAGCCAGGCAGTAGCTGATGGCACACGGTAATCCCGTCCCCAGGTTTTCAACACCTGATTTGTTCCATCACTAATTTGTCTCCCGATCAAACGGATCCACTTTCGGCCAAGGTAACGTCCCATATGAGCATGTGCTGGTGTCCGTTCAAACTAATTCAGACCACCCAGGATATGTGTGCTGGTTGGGGGGGGGGGGTTGGTACCCAAGGATCAGAACAGCATTCCGCCTGTAATATTGGTGGTCACTGGCAATCAGGTATCGCATGATGGGCAGTCACACACTGCCCACTGTTACGACATTTGCCTAGACGGTTGTTGTCAAACTCTGGGGTCAATTTCAGTTAAAATGTATTTTTTCTCCATTAGTTACAGCCTTGTAGTTTAGTCCCAAACAAAATTAACTTCAACTATTACCGTGATCTATCGCTGGTGTAAAGATGAGTTACAGCATTGCACCAAGACTACACCAGCGACTGGGGGGTGTAGCAGGAAGTGATGCTTAGGGCATAGAAAAATTGGGCAGTGGGTTGGGGGGGGGGGGGCATGATTTGAGCTGATTATGTAATAGAAATTAATTTCATACAATTCCCCCCCCCCCCAGCTCAACAAAATCCCCCTGCTCCCCAGCTTGGCAAATTTTACCTCTGGCATCTCCTCCCCAATAAATTTTAGCCCGGCACCCCCCTTGGACGCCTCTTAGCGGTACCCACTGTGCCGTGTGCTGTGCCATCGGCTTGTATGGGATGTATTTACACATGCTGTAGACACACATGGCTCCCGAGCTGCGCGGTGGAGTGGGCTTGAGGATAATTGCAAAGCGGCAGCTGGGATATGATGACCTTGGCCACCAAAGCGACGCCCGGCGCCACGGAGGTGCCACAGCAGCAGATGTTTGGGGGACCACTGCACCCTCTGTGCAGACAGCTGCTGAAGGTCCACCTGGGCCAGAATGGGCCGGAGCACAGAGCAGCCATCAGCCCCCGCCCTGCACCTGAGGAATTCCTGTTGGGGGCACATGGATGTGTTGCATTTCAGCTGCCTGTTTTTTTCCTCTGATATATTACTCAGGGTTTATTTTGTTCCCATGTCGCGTTTTTTGTAATCGTTTCATAGCCATTGGTTTCTGGCAGGATTTTGGCCACAGTATGTACTGCACACTTGCTAAAATCTTTCCTGAAACATTTCATCTGGCACGAGAAAAACAAAGCAACTTTAGGAATGGTTTCTGACTTTCCACGTATTAATGAATCATCGCCACGCACCTGACCTCTGACCTTTCCCTGGTCATGTGATGTGAGGGGGCCACTTCTACTTCCTAAAAACCCTTCCTGGCTAAAAAGGAGAGAGAAAAAAAGCAACTCTCTAAAGATGCCTCTCATTGGCTGCTTTTTTAATATTTCATCACTTATTAACTTGGTTGGAATAAGCTAATAAGATTGACGCTGGCAGTGTGTCACCTGGGAGACGATGTCACCCGAAAAAGTGATGCAGGAGGATTGGCGGCACTGGGCCAAATGGCGGATTGGCAGATGGCTGAACACAAACAGACACGTCGATGTAAAGGGGGCCGCTATGCCCCCCCCCCCCCCCCTTCAGTCTGACAGCCTCTCCTCATGTCTGACAGGACACTAGCTGGTGCAGTGCTTCTTAATGACATATGCAAGTCGTTTGATGTTTGCTGCATCAAGCCTCAGGAATGGACTTGCATATTATACATGTTGATGATATATGATATGTAATATAAAATGGATAGATAACAGCGTTTAGGGGCGTCCTCTGCCCTCGCCGGGCCGCGCTTGCCCGTTATTTACAGCTCTCCCGCCGGACCATTCAGCACATCCTTCTGCGCTCCTGTGTTTCTCCTCCCTCCTCTATCAGGCAGACAGGCCAGAGCCGGTATGGAAGACCTCCGTAAATCACATGCAGTGGAGCCTGGCCGCTTGACTGCCTGCGTGTGTGTGTGAGCCCCTGCCAAAGGGACAGTCAATATGGCCGAGTGTATACAGTAGATGCATGTGCATGCGCATATAGTAAGTGCGTACTGCAGAACGATACATCGGCAAGGCTATTAATTGTAGAAATTGGCCAGATACGAGTCACGTGACCACATGGCTAGATTTATGAGGTTGTGATTCTTTGCTTCTCTACTCGACAGCAGAATTTCAGCTTGGCCTTCCCAGATCGGGGGTCCTGTTTTATTTGGCGACTCAGTGGTCCCCAAGTTTGCCGAGAGGAGCTGAAGGACACCGTCGGCTCGATCTGGCATCTGAAGTCACAGCTTCAGCGCGACAATGCATGCTAAGTCCCGGGGCCGGTCGATGGGCTAATCGGCGGCGAGTCGGTGTCAATAGCGTGCTGTGCGAGGCAGCCATAGCGGCGGCTGGCTGCACACGCCGGCTCCGGCCCCCGAGCAGCCGTCAGCCGGCACGGAATCAGAAGCGGGTCGCGGACATGGATTTGTAGCGGAACGCGGCCCGGAGCGTGGGCGGCAGAGTGCATGGGGTCCTCGCTGAGCAGATGGAAAGGTGTCTCCAGCACGGTGCCCCCTTCCTTTGACTCATTGCATCGCTCACACCTGCGTCGTAAACAGACAGGATGGTGCAGATTTCCTGGGTTGGGGTTGAGGTATATCAGGATTTTGTGGAACTAGTTTGGTTTCAAAGTGAAGAGTTCAGGTGTGAGGAGAGACCCCGGCAGCCCTTCGCCTCCTTTGCCTTCTCCTTCTTTTTCCTTTTTCTCTGAGCTATAACTCTGTTTTTTTTTTCCCCTCTCCACAGGGTACATCTGAGCCTCACTGTGTGGTCTGGGATTACAGCAACTTGTAAGTCTTCAAGCAGCCTCACCTCATGAGACGCACTCTTTTCACACATACGCACACACACCTAAACGTACCACATGGTGCAGTTTGACCTGTTTAAATGTAGCCGGTGTCTTTGAACTCAGTAGCATTAGCTGTGGTATGCTATGCTATTTTTGTACTCTGCAGGAAGGCCCCTTCAACTGCCACTTGAGTTTAATACCCGAAACTTGTTGATGCAGCCACTAGGTGGTGCAGTGGTTGAGGATCCGACTTTAACACTATAAACTTTATATTTGAAAACCATGGCCAAGAACGGCTGTTTCAGTTCTTTGTTTAGATGGCAAAACTAAATTGCTTCTCTTAGACATTTAAATTTATGATCATTTGTGTGTTTAAGCTGTTCAAATCAAAGGTGAGTTTGGGAAGGGAGACACTAGTGTGCGTCGGCAGGCTGATCGGGGATTTCCCGTCGCAAACCGTGCAGCTCAGAGGCTCCCACAGTGGTGCTCTATGCACATTCGGCTGCAGCAGAGCTATGAATCAGCTTTGCGTCAGTCATAGGAAAATGCACAGATGCTTACGGCATTAGCTCATCAGGGCTGGGGTTTGCTTTACCGGCATCTCTCTGCCAGTCTGAGGAGAAGAGCCCCGCTACTGCGAGAATAGTGCATGTTACCTCTGCAAGCCCAAAAACATCAGTGCCTTAGTGGGAACCCGATAGGTGCTGTATCTTCTACTGCCAGTCTGCATAGGAACTACAATGCCAGTCTGCCTGGGTACTACATTGCCTGTGTGCCTGGGTACTACAGTGCCAGTCTGCCTGTCTGTCTGGGTACTACCGTGCCAGTCTGCCTGGGTAATACAGTGCCAGTCTGCCTGTGTGCCTGGGTACTACCGTGCCAGTCTGCCTGGGTACTACAGTGCCAGTCTGCCTGGGTACTACAGTGCCAGTCTGCCTGGGTACTACAGTGCCAGTCTGCCTGTCTGTCTGGGTACTACAGTGCCAGTCTGCCTGTCTGTCTGGGTACTACAGTGCCAGTCTGCCTGTCTGTCTGGGTACTACAGTGCCAGT